AACCAATGTTTTGTTCTAGGTATGCTGAATTTTAAGTGTTCATCAGACTGACAGCCAAGGGGGAAAAAAAAAAAAAAGCTGGGAAGAAATTCTCTGTGGGTAGTTTTTCTAGGTAATGTCTGAAGTGCGATTTTTAGGTTTATAGTTTTGCTCAGTATATTAAATATTATATAGAGAGAACTTCAGCTCTGATGATACTCTCTCTGTACATCTGCAGATTAATTGCTTAGTATTGACCTGTTTTGCGAGTAAACCAAACTACAGAGTGAGGGAGATGCAAAAAAACAAGAAAGCATAATGGCATTTAACATGATAGCCATCAGTTCCTGAGGAGGGTTGTATTTTTTGAATACAATTCTTTTGTGAATAGTTTCTTCCTTAAAAAGAGAGGGTCTTTGAAAAAGCAAGTGATCCATATCAGACAAAGTGTTTTAAGTATTGTGGCAGTGGTGGATAATCCATGTCCAGAATATAAAACCCTGTACCGACTATTTGCATTTCCAGCTTCACAACAGACTGGTGGCCAGTCGCCCCTTTAAAAGACTAGGATAAAGGAAATATTTAGATGACCAGATTTAATCTTTTGATCCACATGCAGAATCAACAGGTTAGAAATAAGGAATTGGTTTTATTTTCAAAGAAATAAACAATAGATATATCTTGGTCCCTCAGGAGAATGGAAAGGGTTCCGAGATCAGTGGCGTCTAGAATGAGAGTGGAGTTAAAGGTGGCCAGAAACAATTGATCAGGGATTAAATGAAAGAGAGTTTACTTTAGAATAATTCAGAATGAGTCGTGAAGATGTCCAGGGGACATGTGTGGGGAAAGGTTGATGGTTAATCCTCAGATTAGTGTGAGGTGGGTGGTCATACAGAGAACCAGGGGTCTGATGGAGCCTGGTGGGAAATGAACGGCAGAGGGGGGCAGGCAGGTAACTTGCTTTTCAATCCACAGGAGGAGAAACAGTGGAAATGATTCTTCTTGGAAATCCAATGATAAAAAACCTAGAGGCAGCGAACAGAAGGGCTAAACGACTTCTCTCAGTCAACAGCTAGTGATAGGTAACAACAAGAGAAGGCCAGAGAGACAACAGGTAAACTTTAATCAACCAGCGCTGAGTGAAGGCTCTGCCACTCTGTTAATCCAGGCACTCCGATTAGACTGATGAGCTCCACCTGTGTAGGCAGCCCAATTTCTCCTCCAAGATCCTCACTGTAAAAAATGTATTACTCACAGTCACACACACACCAACATGGGAACCCTGACAAAACTGGCCATGATCTTTACTATCTGGACCCAGATTGTCCACCTCTGGGAATCTGGGCAGTCTGAGAGGTTCCATATAGTTTCCAACACACCAGTAGACCAGGCAATCCACCTCTTGTCTGTATTCAGATCCGTCCCCGTCATGGATTAGACTGATGGTAGTGGGGTTATCTTCAAACTTACATTTCACTGATTGGTCTACTGAAGTGTAGTCATTTGTGTTCAGGGGATTGGAGGGTCAACACACACCTGTCGGGCACCAGTATTCATGGTTATTGCATGTAAGAAGAGGCTTCATAAAATTAATGGGTATTGCAAATTTTTATTGCTAAGTTGCTTATTGACTGACAGGTCAAGGCTGGCACTGTGACTCTAAATAGAAGTACACTAAGGATCCAGGTACTGTAACTGATCCTGGATGGTCAAGGTGGTGCAGGATGAAGTATATCCCAGGTGCATCTTTTGGCTACCTGTTAGCATGCAGGGGTCCAGCAGGGGGTCTATGATCTTCTCTCTCTCTATTAACAGTCTTTCAAAGAGAAAACAGGTTTAAATGGGAGGCAACAAGACTTCTATTCAGT